AATCTTTAAGTTCTATAGTAGGAAGTAAATAATTCCTAAAACTAAAAATACCAAGACATAGCAAACAAAAGCATGTCCTTTGGAGATGTGAAGTTAAATGTGAAAAAAAATTAGCTAAATAGGTTGAAAGTGGTTGCCTCTGAGTAAGGTGAGGATAGACATGGTGAAGGGCTGCTATTTATTATAATGTACCCTGGATAATTCCATTCTTTAAATTATGAACATATAAAACTTTGATGAAAATAAAAACTAAATTCAAAAAAGAAAGAAAAAGAAAGCTCAGGCTATGGAGTCAGAAAGCATAGGTTCAAGTTCAGATTCTACCACTTACCAATGATTTGATACTGAGCAACTATCTACAAAATGCCAGTAGGCCATAAATGGATATAAAACTTGATAAATAACAAAACTACCTAGCCCCATTCACTAGATTTTATTTTATTTCATAATTATTAAATTTTTTTTTAGTTTCATGTTTTTATTTACATTCCAGTTAGTGGGGCACCTGGGTGGCTCAGTCAGTTAAGCATCTGTCTTCGGCTCAGGTCATGCATGACCTCTGGGTCCTGGGATCGGCCTGTGTAGGGCTTCCTGCTCAGCAGGGAGTCTGCTTCTCCCTCTCCCTCTGCCTCCTCCCCCCGATCATGCTCTCTGTCTCTCTTTCAAATAAATAAATAAAATCTTTAAAGAAAAAAATAAATTCCAGTTAGTTAACATATAGTGTAAGATTAGTTTCAGTCCATTTACTGGGTTTTAGTTTGAGAGCAAATCTAGATTATCTTTGTTTCCCATATAAGGCTTAGCATAAACTTTATCTATAGTATGTTTTAAATTCAATGACTACATCAAAATTTAATGCATTTGTAAGTCAGGGATCTGATCTCATACCAACCACCCTGTCTGCATATCAGTAAATTGTTGACCTCCTTCTTTTTAAATATTGTGCCTTTAAATATATTTCCCCATAATTAGGACATTAAATTGCTCCCTGTATTTTGCATATGCTCCTATTATTGTACTTCTCACACTGTGACTTATAAATTCTAGGATATTTGAATCTACTTCTATAAGCTATTTCCTCAATCACAAGAATTTTGGTTTTGAGTATGCTGGGATTTCAAGTCACTTCTGTTAAATATAATTAGGAAAAAGGGGGGGATGGTTGGAGATTGAGAAAAGAGATAAAACAGAAACCCAAGCAGGAGAAATTTTCTTGCAATACAGCTTTGAGAAATAAAGAAAGCTGAAGCAAAAGAAATATAGGCTCAGAATGCCTCCTTGTTAGTGCACAGGGAACTAAGCTGATTGAGAGGTGACAGCCAAGTAACAGCTTTCACTTGTGTGATTCTGAAGCAAACTGATATTTACTGAATCGAGCCTGGACCAAGGCTATATAACTCTAAGAACTGGAGAGGAGTTTGAGAACTGGATGAGCTAAATAAAAGTTGAATCTACTTTCTCTTACCTGGGCGGGGGATAGTAAGAGCTGCCTTTATAGGCCAGCTCCTCAACCATTCAATAATATGTACTGACTTCTTACCATGGGCCATAACTGGGCCAAATGCTGGGGATAAAATGAACAAAATAGAATATGATGATCCCAGCTCTCAAAGAGCTTATGGCCGAGGAGAGGAGAGAATAAATAAGAGAGCAGTGCCGCCATATGTAGGCAAATAAGGGGGTATAATTGCATATTAGAGGGTCAAGGAAGGCCCTTCTCAGAAAAGAACTTGAAGACTGAGCTAAATTTATAGAGCACATGTGTTGTGGGGAGAGGGGATGGAGAGCATTTTGGGCAGAGAACAACATGTATAAAAGCCTGGAGCAGGGAAAAAACAACAAACAAACAATAGTCCAAAAATTCGAAACATGAATTTTTTCCTGCTCTCCTCAGAATCTACATCTACAAATCTTCTGAGACGAAAGTAGCAAGAGGGGGAAAGATGGCTCCTGAAACATCTAGCCAATAGCCATTCTCCTATAAGTCCGTAAGAACACCACTGGGAAACTTGGACACAGGAGACCCGCTCTATTAAACAAAATCTGGGAAAGAGGGGACTGCTGGTTGTTCTGGCACATAATAGCAGCCAACAGGCAGACCAAATATACAATCTGAGAAATTTAGGATTCTTAAAGAAAAAAAAAAAAGCTTATCATTGAAATGCATAGCATTCCATGGGAGGAACTTAAAACTCAGTTTATCTGGTGGCACCTGGGTGGCTCAGTCGGTTAAGTGTCAGAGTCTTGATTTCGGCTCAGGTCATGATCTCAGGGTTGTGAGATCAAGCCCCACATCAGGCTCCATGCTGGGCCCAGAGCCTGCTTAAGATTCTCTCTCTCTTTCTCCCTCTCCTCCCCCTCCCCCCACTCCCCCCACCCCGCTCTCTCTCTTAAAAAAACAAAAACAACCCCCCCCTTAGTTATCTAGGTGAAACTTAGCCTTCAAATATAACAAAATACAGATATTGAGAAATTCAAAATTTCATGTTAAGAATGGAAAATCTTGGGGCGCCTGGGTGGCTCAGTTGGTTAAGCGACTGCCTTCGGCTCAGGTCATGATCCTGGAGTCCCAGGATCGAGTCCCATGTCAGGCTCCCTGCTCGGCAGGGAGTCTGCTTCTCCCTCTGACCCTCTTCCCTCTTGTGCTCTCTATCTCTCATTCTCTCTCTCTCAAATAAATAAATAAAATCTTAAAAAAAAAAAAAGAATGGAAAATCTTTCTATAACACAAATCTGATCATGACATTCTCTTGTTTAAAATTCCTCAACAACTCCCCACCCTTTTAAGGATAAAGTTCAAACTCTTTAGTCGGATCCCTGTATCCTCTCCAGTCCCATTTCCTGCTTCCCTGTCCTCCATACTCACACTCCAGCTCAACAACAGGTTACCTGTATACATCATGTGTTTTCAAAGAGAGACAAGCCAGCTTATATGAACTTTCACTGGCCAAGGTGTGACAGTTTAAGCATCAAAACAATTTTAAATGGATGGGTAGACAGATAATACTTACAGCTAATATAAAATTGTGAGAAGCTATGCATTTATAATGATACTTAAGAGGTAAAAGCTAATATGAAATATACTAAAAAAATTCTAATACCAAGGAGAGTAACTCTAATAGGGTACTTGATTTCTTTCTTTCTTTCTTTCTTTTTTTTTTAAAGATTTTATTTATTTATTTGAGAGAGAGAATGGGAGAGAGAGCATGAGAGGGAAGAGGGTCAGAGGGAGAAGCAGACTCCCTGCTGAGCAGGGAGCCCGATGTGGGACTCAATCCTGGGACTCCAGGATCATGACCTGAGCCGAAGGCAGTTGCTTAACCAACTGAGCCACCCAGGTGCCCTTTTTTTTTTTTTTTTAATGTTTTATTTATTTATTCATGAGAGTCAGAGAGAGAGAGAGAGAGAGAGGCAGAGGCAGAGGGAGAAGCAGGCTCCCCGCCTAGCAGGGAGCCTGATGTGGGACTCGATCCCAGGACCCTGGGATCATGACCTGAGCCGAAGGCAGACGCTTAACCATCTGAGCCACCCAGGTGCCCCAGGTATTTGATTTTTTTATTGTTTTAAGTAGAGGAGTATGAAAAAAAGAAACAAATTCATATTTATAAAATATACACCTGTTTATAAGGTAGGAAAGGCTGAATACAGGGAATTGTGAATAAGCAAACCAGACCTTGCAAAAGTAGAAACTACATCAAGAACAAAAGGATTGATCAACATGAGGATCATAGATAGTGATAAGGTAGAAAGAGGACCCAACAATTAATCCACACTGGTGATCACTTGAACACAAAAAGCAATTTAAAAAGTTTTAATGCTGGGGCGCCTGGGTGGCTCAGTCGTTAAGTGTCTGCCTTCGGCTCAGGTCATGATCCCGGGGTGCTGGGATCAAGCCCCGCATCAGGCTCCCTGCTCAGCGGGGAGCCTGCTTCTCCCTCTCCCACTCCCCCTGCTTGTGTTCCCTCTCTCGCTCTCTCTCTCTGTGTCAATTAAATAAATAAAATCTTTAAAAAAAAATAAATAAAAAGTTTTAATGCTATAATCCAAAATTATAAATTAACCAAATGCCCTAAGGAAAAAAGCTAAAAATATAAACTAGTTCACTCAAATCCTAGGAATGAAATGCTCTAGGTGCCTCTATTAAAACCAGTGAGATACTAATAAACCACACATAGCTTCTAATAATTGTAACAGACTACATCAATAAATAATAATGACAGGACAATGGGTTATATAATGTTGGCCAAGCAAAACCTAAAAAACACATCATTCCAGGGGGAAAAAAATACATCATTCCAGGAAATACTAAAATCTATATAAAAGGTGTGATCTTACAAAGCTTTCTGGTCATTAGTTCAGTTATTAAAAGCAGCACAGTCATAGGATTGGTGCCTCAGGCTTGAACTACTCTGGGAAAAGCAATCAGGAACTATGCCTTAATCCAAAATCAACAACAGATCAATAACCAAAGTTCTATAATCTTGGTTGGACTAGAGTATTTCTCCTTTTCTTTTTGGTCTGACAAGATTACTATCACTCTCTGACAATTAAAACAAATAATAACCTACTACTAGAATCCTGGGGAAATACCAAGATAAGTACGTTGTAATCCTAAGAAGAAAAAGCATGGTTAACAACTATCTGGTTTATTGGCTATTTAGGGTATTGAAGCTTTCAAAAGAATCAACCATTCTACCCTTGTAATAGTCATTTTAATCGCTTAAAGGTTACCTAAAATTTGATCTTAAATTGCAAATAGTTCTGAGCGCTCCTCTTTGCATAAAAAGCATCTTGGTCTTTATAGAATCTAATCAATAGCTCTTAGTCTCTTCAAGTCAGGGACTGTGTCTTATTTGACTTTATGCCATCAACCCTTAGCACAGTGCCTGCAGTGCAGTCATTTCTCAGTAAATGTTTCTTTGTGAAAGCATGAATAATAATAATAATAATTATTATTATTATTATAAAAACCCAACATACAAATAAATCAAACTCCTTACCTGGTTTTTTCCCCACCTTTTGACCTGGAATTTGTTCTAAGCCATCTTGGCCTTTTCTCATTAACATGGCAAGTGATGCATCATGAGCTCTGAACAGGTCCACAACTTCATGTAAGGCAACATCTGTTATCAGATCACAGCTCAGGACTAGTACATCTGTCTGTCAAATGGAGAAGGGGAAAGTCAATATCACAAAAGACAATGGATCACACAAATCATCACAGGATAGGGCGCCTGAGTGGCTCAGTTGGTTAAGCGACTGCCTTCGGCTCAGGTCATGATCCTGGAGTCCCGGGATCGAGTCCCACATCGGGCTCCCTGCTCAGCAGGGAGTCTGCTTCTCCCTCTGACCCTCTTTCCTCTCGTGCTCTCTGTCTCTCATTCTCTCTCTCTCAAATAAATAAATAAAATCTTTAAAAAAAAAATCATCACAGGATAAACTTACAATGGCTTGGCAGCACACACAAATTGGACACTTGCTTTCAAACCTTTTTTATAGCAGCAAAATAAGTAAAATAAATAGGATTGTTCTAACTAAACTGCTGGGGGAGGTCTGGAATATCTACCTCCCCTTGTGTGTGCCTTATTGCTGCCCAATCTGAGGCACCACTCGAATCCTGGGCTCTAAGGAACAGAGTCTGAAAACTACCACATTGTCTATTTCCATGACTGTGGAATTAATGATCTTAATTGATACATCCCTTCACAGTTTGAAAAGTATTTTCACATAATCTGATGATTCCATATGGTTACAAAATCCTATAAAGCAGTCACTTTGCTACAGTACTAGAAAATAAAAGGATGAATATAATGCCCATCCCTCAGGAGACCAATCTAATTAGTAAACAATACTATACAATCTCAAGTACGTAAATTTAATTCTTATAACAACACCATGGAGTGGGATTGTTATTATTAATATTATTTAGTTCCCATTTTTATAGATAAGAAATATGAGACCTAACTACCACAGTGTATGGCACGTAATAGGCATTTAGTAACTATTTGATGAATGAATGAATAAATCAAGGAAGTAAAAAGAGATGTTCTCATGTGGTGGGTATTCTTTTTTTTTTTTTAAAGGTATTTTGTTGATAATTTTATTTTAAAGATTTTGTTTATTTATCTGAGAGAGAGAGAATGAGAGACAGAGAGCACGAGAGGGAAGAGGGTCAGAGGGAGAAGCAGACTCCCCGCTGAGCGGGGAGCCCGATGCGGGACTCGATCCCAGGACTCCAGGATCATGACCTGAGCTGAAGGCAGTCGCCCAACCAACTGAGCCACCCAGGCGCCCATGTGGTGGGTATTCTTAAAAAAAAAATTTTTTTTTTATTAACATATTATGTATTATTTGTTTCAGGGGTACAAGTCTGTGTTTCTTCAGTCTTACACAATTCACAGCACTCCCCATAGTACATAGCCTCCGCAATGTCCATCACCCAGCCACCCCATCCCTCCACCCCCCTCCACTCAAGCAACCCTCAGCTTGAGATTAAGAGTCTCTTATGGTTTGTCTCCCTCTCTGGTTTTGTCTTGTTTCATTTTTCCCTCCCTTCCCCTATGATCCTCTGTCTTGTTTCTCAAATTCCTCATATCAGTGAGATCATATGATACTTGTCTTTCTCTGATTGACTTATTTCGCTTAGCATAATACCCTCTAGTTCCATCCATGTCCTTGCAAATGGCAAGAGTTCATTTTTTTGATGGCTGGATAATATTCCATTGTACATATATACCACATCTTCTTTAACCATTCATCTGTTGATGGACATCTAGGCTCTTTCCATAGTTTGGCTATTGTGGATATTGCTGCTATAAACACTGGGGTGCGTGTGCCCCTTCGGATCACTACATTTGTATCTTTGGGGAAAATACCCAGTAGTGCAATTGCTGGGTCGTAGGGCATGTGGTGGGTATTCTGATTGCATTTCTAGTAATTCAGACTAATTACAATAATAACTAATAATAGTAATTAACATTTACTGAATGTGTACTATTGGCCAGGAATTGTGATAACACTTTGCATGCATTCCCAATCTTTAGAACCTTACGCGGTAAGCACTATTATTTATTTGTACTTTACAGACAAAGAAACCAGTTTATAGTAGTTAGGTAAATATCTAAGATTTAATAACCCTTAATGACTATTCATATAAATAAATCATCTTTGTGAATAGTGTTTAAAGAAATACAGCTTTGCTAGTTTGAAGACCCATTTAAGGGAGTTTCTAGTCTACAGTATTAGGTACCAAAAACACCTAAATTTAGATCTTAGATACTTCTAAATTTTGGTCTGTCTAGTACCAATCCTACTAGTACTAGCTATCAACTGGAGTATCATATTTTAAGAGTAACCTTGATAAACTAAAAAAGTATCAATAAGAAGATGATTAAGATGGAGAAAGAGCTAGAAACACAACAGCTGAAAGAGGGGAAGTTGTTTAGTAGAGAAAAGATTGTGGGGGGGGAGAGAGTGGGCAGGACAAGGATTATGGGGTGGGGTTAAGGAAGAGATAATAGCACTCTTTATTATTTTATTTTTAAAGATTTTATTTATTTATTTGAGAGAGAGAGTGAGAGAGAGCACATGAGAGGGGGAAGGGTCAGAGGGAGAAGCAGACTCCCTGCCGAGCAGGGAGCCGGATGTGGGACTCGATCCCGGAACTCCAGGATCATGACCTGAGCCGAAGGCAGTCGCTTAACCAACTGAGCCACCCAGGCGCCCTAGCACTCTTTAAATACTTGGAAGTCTAAGGAAGAATGAAATTTTACCTGAAGAGCCCAGGACCAAACTACGAACAAGTAGGTAAAACATGAAGAAAAGTATTTTTGGTTTCCATATTAACTTATTTCTGTCAATCAGAGCTAGTCAAAAAGAATAGTTTTGTAAGGCAATGAGTTTCCCATCATAAGAAGTGCTCAGGCAGAAACTGGATTATCACTCGCAACAATTTATTTACCTGACATTTACTGAGCACTTACTCTATGCTCAGCCAGGCCCTATTCTGAAACATAGAGGGAACTTAGACTAGAAAGTGTTAAAATGTGAGTGGCTAAGAAAGGCTACTTAATATATATATATATATATATTTTAAAGATTTATTTATTTGACAGAGAGAGACACAGTGAGAGAGGGAACACAAGCAGGGGGAGTGGGAGAGGGAGAAGCAGGCCTCCTGCCGAGCAGGGAGCCCGATGGGGGGCTCGATCCCAGGACCCTGGGATCATGACCTGAGCCAAAGGCAGACGCTTAACAACTGAGCCACCCAGGCGCCCCAGCTACTTAATATTTTTTAAACAAATTTCTCCCTATATATTCTGCTATTTCATTTCATCATAAATGTAGTACACAGATTTGTCAAAATAATATATTGAAAAACAAATTCCTTACATTGCAATTTAAATTGACTACACAAATGTTTCTCAATAGCACACCTGCAGTTTCCCAGAGGTGCCTCAGGTAAAGCCTGGTTCCTATTGCCCTGTCTGAGTCACCCAGGGCAACTCCTCTTTTATTAATTTTATTTTCTGGGTTTCTGTATAAGCTTTGGTTTGGAAAACAGTTTTTGCTACTTTAAAAAGTTTGAAAAACATTTAACTAAATTATTCCAGGTTTAAGAATAAAATGAATATCTACATGGAAATTTTTCTAAGTGGTTCCCACTTTTCTAAGATTTTAATTTAAAATCAAGATTCCTGTGGCACCTGGGTGGCTCAGTCAGCTAAGCGTCTGACTTCAGCTCAGGTCTTGATCTCAGCGTCCTAGGATAGAGCTCCATGGTGGGCTCTGCACTCAGCAGGGAGTCTGCTTCTCTCTGCCCGCCCCCGCTCATTCCCTCTCTCTCAAATAAATAAATAAAATCTTTTAAAAAATAAACTAAAATCAAGATTCCTGCCTTGGGTGGGAAAAATGGATGATTTCAACTCACATTCTACTACAGTAAAAAGTCATGTTTGCTAAGAAAGTGAGGCTCAACCATAAGAATGCCTTGGCTTACTGCTTGAAATTTCTTATTCTGAATATAGACTCTGTACCAGAACCATCATTTCTTTTTCTACCTGTAACTCATTACTTACAGCCTGAACAATTCCTTTTGAAAGCCTCTTCAAGTTAAGAAGTTCAAATCTGAGGGGCGCCTGGGTGGCTCAGTAGGTTAAATATCTGCCTTCAGCTCAGGTCATGATCCCAGGGTCCTGGGATCAAGCCCCGCATAGGGCTCCTTGCTCAGTGGGAAGCCTGCTTCTCCCTCTCCCTCTGTCTGCAGTTCCCCCTGCTTGTATTCTCTATCAAATAAATAAATAAAATGAAGTTCAAATTTGGATTTTTTTTCTACTTTTCTGCTTAAGGCTATCTTGGTTGCTTCTGGTTTTAACTGAGCTAAAAGAAAAAAATTCTTTTTTTTTTAAGATTGTATTTATTTATTTGAGAGAGAGAGAGAATGAGAGACAGAGAGCACGAGAGGGAAGAGGGTCAGAGGGAGAAGCAGACTCCCTGCTGAGCAGGGAGCCCGATGCGGGACTCGGTCCTGGGACTCCAGGATCATGACCTGAGCCGAAGGCAGTCGCTTAACCAACTGAGCCACCCAGGCACCCAAGAAAAAAATTCTTAAGCTCACCATCTAGGAACCACCAAAACATTAACAAATCAGCCTGTGTACATGAAAGCTAAGGAAGAGATAGCACACAGAATTCTTTTTTTTTTTTTAAGATTTTATTTATTAATTCGACAGAGAGAGACACAGAGAGACAGGGGACACAAGCAGGGAGAGTGGGAGAGGGAGAACCAGACTCCCCACTGAGCAGGGAGCCCGATGTGGGACTCGATCCCAGGACCCTGGGATCATGACCTGAGCCAAAGGCAGACGCTTAACGACTGAGCCACCCAGGCGCCCCAGAATCCTCCTTCTTACAACAATGCTTAGAAAGGCTGGGAACACAGGCTATTATTAAAGACACGTCCCTATAGCAGTACAGAAGTTGCTCTATTTCATTATAATAAAAATGACAGTTTGCTGAGAAAAAAAAAAATCTCCTTTCTCTAATAAGCTGGCTGATTTTTACAAGCTGACTGTTCTACAATAAATTTAATTATCAAGTGTACTCCAAAGTGAAGAAAATGACCCCGATGCAGATGCCTCTGAAGTGGCAACAATGTTGTCT